CTGGCTTGGTTTTGCAGGCTATATTTCAAATGAAAAGAAGAAAAACACATTGCTACAAATTGTTTATTTAAGAGGCGGAGGAAAAGAGTGCATATCTGTTCTGGGCTATTGGGACCTGGTAATAACTGTTGCAACAAATCAAACTGCAGAATAAAAACATTGTTTAATTATGATGGCCATGTAGTCAGGATTACAAGTATTCAAAATGTGAAAGGGTGTAAAATACGTTTCATGGCATGTACACCTTCTGCAAAATCCATTTTCTTCCATATCCAACAGTTAGTGTATTTTGTTTGCAGTGTAATGAGCTATATAGATCAGCGAGACCTTTGTGTTCAGTTTAGGTGTGCTGAATTAGGTGATCTCAGTTGGGCACTCTAGTGGATTTCACCAACCAATTTCTCCACTCATTTGCTCTCCGATGGACCCAATGAACAGGATAAAGTTCATCTGAGGTATCATAGGTTAAATGTTCACTTAGGGAAAAAAAACCTTTTTTTTCCTCTAACATCAATAAAGTAGCATGATAATTTTCTATCACACTTTTCCTGAGCTTATATTTGTATACTGCCTTTAGCACGATAAAATAAACTAAGGTGCTTCACAGCGGTACTGTAAAAGCATGAGGAGCTTCCTAAGGTGATGTTAGCTTTTGGCCATCTGCCCTTAGTCAAACCGGTACATTTTAAGGAGGGCCTTAAAGGAGGAATGTGACACCAAGAGTTTGGAGAAGGAAATCTGATTGAAGTGCCTAGGCCACTGAAGCTGTAATGGTGGCGTGATGTAAAATTGGATGCCCAAGAAGTCTGAAATGGAGGAGTGTAGATTTTTCTGGGTTGTGAACCTGGAGCAGATTACAGATAAAGGGGTGAGGTCATAGAGCGATTTGACACAAGAACCGGTGCAGATGGGTGAATTAGACTTGGTGAAAATCAAGTACTCTGGATAACTATGGTTATGGCATGTAAGATGTAGGTGTTAATTAGAATTGTATGGAATAATCAAGTCCACAGTTAAATAAAAGGCATGGGTGAGGGTGGCAGCAGCTAGTTCAGATGATGAATAGCAGTAATAATAAATAGACTTGGTGATGGCATGTTGGTTAGGGTCAAATATGATGTATGAATTAAAACATGTTTGTGAACATCCTGGTTTATCCTTAGACAGTTGCAAAGAACAGAGATGGAGTTTATAGCTCGGCGACAGTGTCTGTGGCTGGCACCAAAGATAATGGCTATCATCCCACTATTAACTGGAGGGAGTTTCTGCTCACTGAAATATTGGATGTCAGACAAGCAATCAAGTAATTTTGCAGGAGTTGAGAGAACAAGAGCTGAGTGTCATCAGCATACAAGTGAAAACCAATGCAATGTTTTCAGATGATAACAGCCAGAGACAGCATGTAGTTGAAAAATAGAATAGGGCTGAGATTAGACCCTTGGAGGCCAGCAGATGTAGTAGTGCGGGAACAAAGATATGTTAGTGCTAGTGATACTCCGAACTGCAAGTTGATGGCCATGAATGGAACCACACGAGAGTATCCCACCCAAGTGGATAATAGTAGAAAGGCATTGGACAATGATGGTTGTAGTTTTTGTCGGATACTGCAAACATTAATGCTTCTTCAAAATGACGTATGTAGTATTAAATAAACAGGATTAAATCAAGATGCAAATGTATGCAAAATTGAAATGGAGAATCTGATGCTGATAGGATATGTGGAGCTTTGCTGCCACAATTCTCAATCACTTGAATTGCTAATTCAGGTACAATCTGAAGCCTTTGCTGTAAAGAATGAAGACAGTTAAGGCACCACTGTTCACAGTAGCACCAGGTACAAGAATAAGAATAATTTGCCTGCTGACTGTTGCAGGGTTCAAGAATTGCTGAATGTGGGGAGAAATAAAACATAAAAGATGTGTTGATTGTATATAAAGTAAAAGGACTGTTTAAGAGGCAATAAGATTTAACTCTAATATATTTATGGGGTTGATAACTCATTCATATTTAAGCCACGTATAAAATTGTACAATTTTATTAGATTCAAGCTAGTTTTATCCTAATGAAAATGCTTTAGCTTTTGTGTTGAAATTTGCTGACCCCAAAGGGCCATAGATGAGCTTGATCGATCATCCCATTGGCATGCACTATATTAAATATACTAAATCAATTAAACTAGAAATGCTCGTACAGCTGTACAGCAACCATTACATTATCTAATTTTACCTTGTACAAGTCACTGCACTATTAACATTCTTCGTACATAAAGCACTTTTGTGATGTTTGAGAGAGATGTGGAAGATTGCTATTGAAGTATATAAACGTAAATGCTTCTTCCGTCTGCAGAAATGCATGTGTTTCTGTCTTCTAAAGTTCAAAGCAACTGGATTTTGAGGGTGTTTTAGCCCTTTGTGAAAATGAATAGAACAACCACAGGGGGTGACTATCAAACCTGCAGTAAAATATCAGTAGGTAACATAGCAAACATTCATATATGGCATAATTCCAATGTACAATCACTTTGTTAAAATGATGTTATTCCCTACGTGAGGATCGAAGCTGACAGAATTTGGGCAATCTAACATAATATGAGGGTGGAAAAGCAACACCTAGGGAGTTAGACCAAATGTGTTTTCTTCCCTTCTGTTAAATTTGAAACACAATTGGTTTTAGTTTTGCATCCAAGCTCACTTTTAGAAACTGCGTAAAGTACTTGGCTAAAAAAATGTTTTTTGTCTTAACACCAATAGCAAAGGTTGTGTTGAAAATGATCTTGCCGCATTTATTTTTAACATTTTCAACAAAAAAAGTTTCCATCTTTCCATCGCAATTTTAAAAACTCGGTTGTACAGCATCAAGAAGCAAAGTAACTGCAACATATTGAAATGATTAATGTTTCACATTGTTTTGAAAAATTGGCAATTAATTTCTTTTTTTGTACTGGCAAGCTGCTGTACAGATGTACTTTGTGCTAAACAAGAGTTATAAAGATTTTTTGTAATACAGTACCGATGCTACAGAATGTCATTATTTTTTTAATTTGTTCATGGGATGAGAGTGGCACTTGCTAGACCAACATTGTTAACCCTAATTACCGAGTTAATTAGATGGCAGTTAAGAGACAATTGCATTGCTGTGGGGTCTGGAATCACAAGTGGGCCAGGCCAGACCAGGTAAGGATGGCAGATTTCACCCCTAAAGGACAGGATAAAGGACATTTGTGAACCAGATCAACTTTTATGAAATTAACTTATTATAGATTTTTATGCAGTTCAAATTTCACCACCTCTATTGTGGGATTTGAACCCATACCCACAATATTAGCCTGGAGTTCTGGATCTCTAGTCCATTGAGATTGCCACTATACCAACACCTTCCCTGCTATAGAATTGTTTTATTACTAATAAGGACAACAATTTAGAATCAAAATATTATTTGAAACTGGCAGAGCTTAAAATATTATATCACTGTTTATGGAAAACGGGAAAGTATTTAATATGTATTAGCAAGTAGTTTTAGTAACGTAATGTGTTCTGTTGCAATCAAGCCTTTTCACTGTAGTGTGCAGATTTTTAAAAATGTACAGCCATGAGCCATATTTATAAAATTAATAGAAATTTAGGAATTATATATTCAGACAGCTACAATGTGGCCAACTGCATACAGAGTCATACAGCATGGAAACAGACCCTTCAGTCCAACCAGTCCGCGTCAAACATAATCCCAAACTAAATTAGTCCAACCTGCCTGCTCCTGGTCCATATCCCTCCAAACCTTTCCTATTCATGTATCCATCCAAATATCCTTTAAATGTTGTAATTGTACCTACATCCACCACTTCCTCAAAGTTTATTCCATGCACAAACTACCGTCAATGTAAAAAAAAAAAAACTGCTTCGTCTTTTTTAAATCTCTCTCCTCTCACCTTTAAAAATGTGCCCTCTCGTTTTCAAATGCTCCATCTTAGGGAAAAGACAACTACCATCAACTCTTTACACACCTCATTATTTTATAAAAGTAGAATATTATGGTTAGTATCTTGTAAATTTCCAAAGTTGAGTTCACTTCCTTTCTAGGACTCATAATATTGTCATCCGAACTCCTCCAAAACAAAATAATATCCTGTTATTTCCAAAATGTATACATTTGCTAATACAAAAGAAATAGGAGGGTAACAGAGAAATTCTGTAGGCTTTTTTCAGACTTCCCCAATCCTGTACTTCAACTCGTCAATAAATGAGAAGGCAAAGACCCGCAGTGACCCAGATTTTTAGCTTTTGTGGTAAGGTGTCTAGCATTCTGCTCAGCGTGAATGCCAACACCACATGGTCATGGTATAACATACTGTGCCACAGATGACATTTTTGGAGGTAATGGTGATCATTTTTATAGGAAACTGGGGTGAGGGTGGTGGAATATTCATGTTGTAGTGGTAAATGCTGTTTTGAAGTTGTGGAAAATATGCATCACTAGGCCTGAATAAGGTAGGTTTGCTGTGTACCACTTGTTAAACCTGCAGTGTTAGTTGCTGATACAAACTCATGTCTTTCCAAGTCATAAGAATAATTCTCCACCCTTCAAACTGCCAACCTGAATATGGATTCACAAAATGTACTTGTCAGAATAGGAAAAAAGCTCACAATGGTCCTATCTCTGCATCATTTTGTTGGTTATAAGTATATGTGATATGTATTTCATGTGGTCAGCCTTTATTCTTTCTGGCAGGATTTTAACTTATTTCCACAATTAAAGCATTTTAATGAGTGTCAAGTGTCTTCACACATCTGTTTGACTCACACCAAAAGTGCTTTGTCAAAAAAAAGTTGATTACCTTTTCTGGAACTGAGGCAGGAAAAATGCTCTGATGTGTCTCAATATATTTAAACAATTGCTAAGCAAGATCTTTAACATGCACAGAAATCGTGACTGTCAACATATTTTGCTGGTTGATTAAGGTGTATGGATGAGAATGTAGAGAGGAGAGATGCAGCCAGGTATACTGCTGTTAAAATCTTTTTATTATTAATTCTTCATATTTAAATTCATTACAAAATGTCTAGTTAACCAATATTAATACAGGACATTAATATCAATAGGAAAAGTCAGTCCAATATTTTGGTTTGTACTGTCAATAGGAGATTTCTGAGAGAAATACTTGATTGAGTATGACTTTTTCTGAACACTGGAATAAATGAGCTACCAATGCATGTTAGTAAATAGGTACACCTTTTTTAACCTTAGGATTGTGATAATTCAATTGAATACCCTTACTGTTTCAACTCAACAACCTTCTAGCTAAATAAATTGATGGATTCTCCCCAGAAAAAGGGAGCGGGGGAGCGCAGCTCTGATCAATTCACTTCCTCTTGCAAAGCTGAATGTAGTTTCACTTGAATAACAGTTCTTGTCATTTTTGGCAAACTTAATTTTATTTCCATAGTAAATTTAGGGGAAAAGTTTTTGCATATTGTTAGTTTATTTCTCTGCCAAATTTGTGTTCTTTCCCACTATATAGCAGTGGGACTAAGCAGGCATTTTAAGCCACTGCAGAATGTATTATTTATTTGTTTTAAAGGGAGACTTATGCAATGTGTGCTTATAAGAATACAGCTAGACTTAAGATGTTTTTCAATGCACAGAGTAACTGATGTATTCACTTTTAAAACAATAATATTGGAATCTTACAAGAGGTTGTGGATACTTAACTGTTGATTAAATATATGTTGGATACTTGGTGTTTAATTTTCTCTGGCACTGGACTTGTTAGCATTTATTCCCAGGCTAATTAGCAAAACTGGACAGTGTTAGCTCCAAGGAAGCAGCATGCAAATTGCCAAAAAAAAGCCTCATGTCTGAGGATTGGGAACAGTTTAGATTTCAGCAAAGGAGGACAAAGGGTTTGATCAGGAAGGGGAGGGTATGAGAGTAAGCTTGCAGGAACATACAAACTGATTGTAAAAGCTTCTATAGGTATTTGAAGAGAAAAAGGATTAGTGATGACAATGGTAGGTCCCTTACAATCCTAAACAAAGATATACTTTTGCTTCTGTCTTCACCAAAGGATGACGCAAAATAATTCCCCAAAAGTGCTGAGGAATGCAGGGTCTAGTGAAAGGGAGGAGCCAAAGTAAATGGCATTGGGGAAATTGGGATTAAAGATCGATAAGTCACCAAACCCAATCATCTAGATCCTAGAGAACATAAAGAAGTGACTTTAGGAATGGTGGATGCATTGGTCATCTTTCAATATTCCAGGACAGTTACTGTGGATTGGAGGCCCATTATTCTTCCTAAAAAGAAAAAGTAGAGAAAACAGGGAATTATACACTGGTTAGTCTGACGGTAGTAGAGAAAAATGCTAGAGTCCGTTTATAAAAGATTTAATAGCAGAGCACTTGGGAAACCATAACAAGATAGGACAGAGTTGGTATGAATTTACAAAAGGGAAACCACACTTGACAAATCTACTGGAATTTTTCAAAGATTTAACTAGTTGAGTTGATAAGGGGAACAGTGGATGTGGTTTACTTGGACTTCAGTATGTCTACGATTACATCCCATACAAGAGATTAGCAAGTAAAATGAAAGCATGTGGGTTTGGGGATCGTATACTGACATGGACAAAGAACTGGTTGGCAGACAGAAACCAAACAGCAGAAATAAATGAGTCATTTTCTGACTGCCAAGGTGATTTGAACAGGTTGAGTAAGTGGGCAAATGTATGGCAGATGAAGTGTAATATTGATAAATGTGAGGTTATCTACTTTGGTAGTAAAACAAGAAGGCAGATTATTATCTGAATGGTGGTTGATTGGGAAAGGGGGAGGTGCATTGGGACTTGTGTATCCCTTCACGTCACGTGCTGAAAGTAAGCATGCAGGTGCAACAGGTAGGGAAGAAGGCAACTATTACCTTGGCCTTCATAGCAAAAGGATTTGACTACAGAAGCAGGGATGTCTTGCTGCAATTCTGCAGAGCCTTGGTGAGACCACACCTGGAGTATTGTGTGCAGTTTTGGTCTCCTTATCTGAGGAAGGATATTCAGGCTATGGATGGAGTGAAACAAAAGTTTACCAGGTTGATTTCTGGGATGGCAGGGTATTTGATGCATTTGATCTCAGGGGTATAACTGCCTCCTGAAATACTCTGCCCAGATAACTCTCCACCCCCCTCCCACACTAACATTTTGCAGTGTCCACAGTTCAGACTCTAGCTCATCAACTCTGAGCTGAAGTTCCTCAAGCAGCCAACACTTGCTGTGGATGTCACTATGGATTGCACTGGCATCTTAGTTTCCACAAACTCCACCTGCAGTACATCACCTGTAATTAATTAATTTGAATGTTTTTAAAGATTTTTTTAAACTCCTGATTCAGATGCAATAACTGGTTTAAACCACTTAGCCAATCACAAGTGATACTGAAGAAATACCCATTAATCACTTACCTGTTTTCCTGTGACATCACACTTAAGATCTGACAGGTTGAAGAGACTCTCCGCCTCTGGTTTCTGTTTCCTGAGGCTGACGCCCCTTTTCATGTACACCCACTCTTCTTACAAAGGTGCTATTCCTGCTCTCCCATCGTGCTGCGAGCACGGATCATCATCTGTCTCACTACATGGGTCCGGGCCCTCATCTCTCTTGCTCATAACAATTCTGTGATAGAAGGATTAGTTGCCATCCAAGCCACACATCATCCTGACTTGGAATTATATTGCTGTTCTTTCATTGTTGCTGTGTTGAAATCCTGGATCTCATCTATAATTTACACGGTTCAAGAAGATGGCTCACCTATGCAGGAGTAACTAGGAATGGACAATAACCCCCACCCTTGTCAGAAACACTCATCCTGTGAAAGATATTTTTTAATTACTCCTGCAGTTAGGTTTGTACAAGTGATCAAGGAGTGGATATAATTGTTAGAAAGGACATGGAGCTTGAGATTAAGGAGCTGGAGATTGACTTGAATCTTTTTCAATGTGTGAAGGAGAAATGATGAGTGGATGTTGAATGAGCAGTCTGGATCAATGCAGTGTAGGGATTGAGAGATGTATAGAGATGCAGGATTGTGCCTTATTAATGTACATATGAGAGTTGTTTCTGATATTTTTGGATGATGTTAACAAGCACAACAGGAGAAAAAGGAAGGATCCAGGGATAGAGATTTGGTGACACCATGAGGCTGGAAAGATAAGCCATTGAGTGAAATGCTGTAATTATAGTTGGATCAGTAAGAGTGCAACTGAGTGGTCAGTTTCTCTGTGGGATAACAGGAGAAGTGTTGGAGTAGGAATGTGTGGTTAACTTCGTCAAAGACCTCATAGGTTTGAAGAGTCATAATGTGTAGGAGTGCTATTTACAATGAGTCATTTTTGAGTTTTAATAAAGGTCATTTTGACTCTGGATAAGGTGGAGACCTTGTTGCAGGTTTTCAAAAAGGAAGTTGTGGCAAATCTGGGAATTGATATGGGAGACAACATTGCATTCAAGAACTCCAGAAAGAAAAAGGTTAGATATGAGGAAATAGTTTGCATTGCTGAAGTAAGCTGGTGGTGAAAGCTCTTTTTGAAAGAGAGGGAGCAGCATGAACCAAGACAAAACAGTATCAGTAAGCAAATGTTTTAAGAAGGGAAGTTGGAGAATCGAAAGTAGAGTCAAGTCGATCTCATGAGCTTGGTGAGTTACAAGAGGTGAGGAGTAAAATGATTAAAGACTGAGTGTTGATGCTTTGAATGGTGGGAACGTTAAGCTAGTTTTAGCAAATAGAGCACCAAATGTGACAAAATGGATATTCTGTGTGGCATATGTTGTCAGATAAGAAACTTCTATCTCTCCTTCCTGTCTCCCTCACACCTTTCTGCTCTTTCCTCTCCTTCTTTTCCTCTTTCACACCTGCATCATAGTAACTTTGGTTTAGTTACCGATTTATGTTTTAATTCCTTTTAGAATAAAGGGAGGAAAACCAAAATAGGAAACTACAGACCAGGCACTTGGAAAAATTCAAAGAAATCCAGCAGAGTCAACGTGGTTTATGAAATTCATAAAAGATGGAAATCATCTTTTATCAATTCATTTGGTAACATGCTGTGGATAAGGGGAACCAACAGCCAATACTACACTTTGGTTTTCAGAAGGTATTTGATAAGGTGAGACATCAATAGTTCTTGAAGAATATGAAAGCTCATGGTGTATTCTATCAGATTATGGGAAGTTTGGACACAAGAAATAAGGAAAGAATGTCCCCATTGATGGAAGGATCAAGTACCAAATGGCACAAATTAAAGTATCAGCAAAAGAAGCAATGACATCGTAGGAAAATCCTTTTCACAGCAAGTGGTTAGGTTCTGGAATGTACTACCGGAGTGTGTGGGGGAAGCAGATTTGATCAATGTATTCAAAAAGGAATGGAATCATTACCTGAAAAGGAGGAATGTGCAGTGTTTGTGGGAAAAGATGGTGGAGTAGCTCGAGGTGAATTGCTTCTGCAGAGAGCCAGCATAGATATAACAGGGTCCGAGGTCTCTTTCCATGGTTATAGCATAGATGTAACCACTATGGGTTTTTTTTAAAATAAAAGATTCCTTCATGGATTGTGTGTGTGTCCCTGGCTGGACAGAATTTATTGCTAATCTCTAATTTGCCTGGAGAAAGTCTATGATACACTTTACCTGTGCTTGCTGAGTGCTTTCCTAGTTCCTCCTTTTCTCTATTAGAAGAGGACAATGAAAGAACACATTTCTTACTGAAGTATTAATATTATCTTACCTTTCTTCTTCAGTTTCCCTGGCCTCACCAACATTTTTGGAGTGCAACATTCTGAAATGTAAGTTTAAGTCACCAAAATAGAGATTCTGAAGATTGGACTGGTCCAATGGAATATCAATCATTGGCATGGAAATCCTGCAAAGACCAGAAGATCCATAGATAACCTATAACTGCATAAATAATACCATCTGGGACAGTGTCAAAATTCATCTAGTATTCCTTAAACCAAAGCAGCTAATGGATGAACTTTTCTTCATCAGCTGGTCACGTAGAAAGTAGGAGTGGGACTAGGTCATTCAGCTATTTGAGCCTGTTCTGTCATTCAATATGATCATGGCTGATCCTGTATCTTAACACCAAATTTCTGCTTTGTCTCCATACCCACCAAGCCCTGTTAGAATTTCCTGATACCTTCAAAATAACATCAGCCATTTCTGAATAACAGGGACCCCAGCTACTAGACTAATTTAAAATTAGTTACTACTTCACTAAAAATGTTTGCTCAGTTCCTTCTGCTTCCCTACTGAGGAGAGTCTGTAAAACAGAAGATTGATCTAGGGGTAAATCAATCAGCTTTAGTCTTTAAAAATACTCACTTGACATCTGGAAATAGAAGAGAATTCCAAATATTGAATAGTTGTCATCCACAAAGCTATCATATATGACAGTAATCACTGAATTGTTATGGCACAAAAGGAGGCCATTCAGGACATTGTCCGATTTCCTGCATTTTCCCCATACCCTTGCACTCCATTTCTATCCAATGCCCTTTAAATGGTTCAATTGAACTTGACTCTACCACATTTTCAGGCAGTGCATGCCAGACTCTAATTACTCAGTGTCAAAGGCTTTACCAAAATACAAATAAGCAACGTCTGCCATCATCAACCTTTTTGGTAACTTCCTCAAAAACTCAAACAAGTTTGCTGCCCAGGTTTGTGAGACATGATTTTCCTCACACAAAACTGTGATGACTAGCTGTAATCAATTTTTGCCTCTCCAAATGTCCCTAATTCCTATCTTTTATAATCACCTACAACTGAAGTTAAACTCCCAGGTCCATAGTTCCCCATTTTCTCCTTACAACTTTTCTTGAACAAAAGTACAACATTAGCCACCCTCTGGTATTCAGGCACCTCACGAGTAGTTATAGATGATGCAAATATTTCATAATTTCCTCCCTTACTTCCCATAACGTTCTGGGATACATCGTCCATCTTCATATTCTCTAAAACCTCCCAAACTTCCTTTTCTGTAATGTGAACTATTTTTAGAACATCAAAGTTTATTTCTTTGCATTCTCTAGACTTCACTTCTTTCTCCAACAGTAAAAACTAACACGAAATACTCATTTAGTATTTCTCCCATCTCCTGGAATTCAGTACAAAGATGACTGCCTTGATCTTTGAGACCCAATGTTTTCACTAGTTACCCTCATGCTCTTAATGTATTTGAAGAATCTCTTTGGACTATCCGTACTTAACCTTATCTGCCAATGCTATCTCATATCCCCTCTTTGCCTTCCTGATTTGTCTCGATCAATATGAAGTGTGTAGGGGTATTCTTAAGCAATTCAATTGAACTGAGTTGTCTATATCTAAAATAGGCTGGGACATTTTTTTTCACGAGTGTAGGAGGTTGAGAGGTGACCTGGTAGAAGCTCATAAAATAATGAGAGGTGTAGATAGGGAAAAGACAACTACCATCAACTCTAAGATGGGGAATTTCAAGACTAGGGGGCATGTTTTTAAGGTGAGGAGGACAGACATTTAAAAAAGACATGAGGGGCAAATCTTTTACACAGAGGGTGGTTTGTGTGTGGAATGGACTTCCTGATGATGTGGTGGATGCAGGTGCAATTACAACATTTAAAAGGTATTTGCATGGATATATAAATAGGAAAGGTTTGGAGAGATATGGGCCAGGAGCAGGCAGGTGGGACAAGTTTAGTTTGGGATTATGTTCAGCATGGACTGGTTGGACCAAAGCGACTGTTTCCGTGCTGTATGACTCGGTGTGTCAATGTTCTTTCACAAATCACCCTTGCTTTGTTTGCACATCACTCACTTCTCTTTTGTTTCATTTAACAAACAGAAACAACTTCACCTTATCTAGGCTGCTCAGCCCACTCATGATTTTGAGCCTCTAATCAAATCTCCTCTCAGCCTTCTCTCAGGGGAGAACAGTCCCAATTTCTCCAATCTATCCTCAAACCTTAAACTTCGCATTCCAGGAATTATTCCTGTAAATCACTTCTGCCCTCTCCCATGTAATCCAATTTCCTGTAGTGTGCACAGTAGTCCAGCTGAGGTCTAACAATTCTCTCATGCAAGTTCAACATCACCTCCCTACTCTTGTAACGTGCCCCTTTTCATGAATCTTATTATGGATGCTTATTAACTGCTTTCTGCCTGTCATGATCTAATGCACATGTACACCCAAGTCCTTTGCTCCTGTAACCCCTCTAGTATTGCATTACCTATTTTGTTTTGTCTCAACGTATTTCCTACCAAATGGCACCACTTCACACTTCTCTGCATTGAACCTCATCTGCCAACTATCTATGCACCCTGCCAATGTGTCGATGTACTTTTGGAGTTCCGCACTATCCTCCTCACTGTTTACAATTCTTCCAAGTTTAGTGTCAGCTGCAAATATTGAGATTATCCTCTGCACAGCAAGTTGCAAATCATTAATATCAGGAAAAGCAAGAACTCCACTACAAACCTTCTTCAGGTCTAAAAAATATCCATTGATGATTATTCTCTGTTTCCTAACAGTGGCATGGTGGCTGTAGTCAGCACTGCTGCCTCACAGCTCCTGGGACATAGGTTTGATTCCACCCTCTGGAAGCTGCACGGAATTTGCACATTCTCCCTGTGTCTACCTGGGTTTCCTCCCACAGTCCAAATGTGTGCAGGTTAGGTGGATTGGCCACAGTGTCTAGGGATGTGCAGGTTAGCTGGATTAGCCATGGGAAATGCAGGGTTACAGAGATAGGGTAGAGGGGTGGGTTGGGGCAGGATGCTCTCTGGAGGATCAGTGTTGACTCAATGGGTTGAATGGCCTGCTTCCACGCTGTAGGGATTCTCAGCCAATTTTATATCCACACTGCTACTATCCCTTTTGTATCAAAACTTATAATGGTCCTCTCAAATGTGTTTTGTGGCACTGTATCAACACATTCTGCAAAATCCATGTATATCACATCAAGAGCATGACCCTCATTGACCCTTTCTATTGCCTTTTCAGAAAAACTCCACGTTAACCAAACAATTTCCCCTTTGAAAATCCATGCTGACTCTTCCTAATCAATCCATCTTGTCCAACATGACTACGCATTCTATTCTGAATATTGTTTCTAGACATTTCTCTGCCATCAAAGTTAAACGAACTGCTTGTTAATTTCTGTGGTTTTCCTTGCAACCATTTTTGACTAAGGCCATAATATTTGCAACCCTCCAGTCTTCAGGCAACACCATCACCACCCACCCCCCAAACCACCAAGTCCAGAGAACACTGAAATATTGTGGCTACTCCTCCTGCAATCTCTAGTGTCTTGCACCACCCACCCCCCACTTTGTTCAAAATTCTTGTGTGCATCATATTCAGTCCTAGTGCCTTATCAACTTTAAGTGCCAATAATCTATCCAAGGCTTTTTTCTTTATTAACTTTGAACACTTCGAGACAGAGTTGCCTCCTGTCATCATGGTCTGGGCAGAATCCTCCTCTTTTACAAAATATTCAGTTAACACTTCAGCTAAGCCCCCTGGCTCCACATAAAAACAAATTTACAATCTCTGATCAGTCTCACTCCTGCTTTAACCATTGTTTATATCCCTTTAGAACATGGCAGGATTTCCTTTTATGTTAGCTGCTTTTCTCTGTGCTTCTTTGCTTTTGCACTTCTTTGCTTTTGTACCTCCTTCCAGACCTTTGGTACTCCTGTTTTGGTTCTCAATTGGATTTTCTACTGTGTCTGTCCATAAGCACACTTGTATTTTCTAATGTTAATTCCTCACTCCATTCCCATCCAGGGAACTGTAATCTGTTTGTCTTACCTTTTCCATTAGAAGGAACATACCTCGCTTATACCTGAACCATCCGCTCTTTGCAGGCAGTCCATTGTTCAATTATTGTTTCCCCACCCCCACCCCCACCCCCACCCCCACCCCACTTCCCTCATTCTCATCAATCCTTCTCCATTCTGTTCATGCTCCATTAAAGTCAACTCTAACAAAACATTATATTTTTCCACTCTGCCCTGTAGAGAAACATAACTTGAATGTACTATCTCGTAAACTGAATCTTAAATTGCCTCTTTCTACATTTTTTTCCTTCCAATTTGCCTTTATAAAGAACACTCTCCTCATCTCCGATGCCTTTTGTACAGACTGAGGTGTCTGCATGCTTGTCTTCATTACATCTTGTAAATATTTATATTTGTATTTCAAGAAACCTTTCAGCATTTCTAGCCGAGGCAGTTAAAGTCTTCAGGCTGTTTCCATTCACTGCCAGTATTGAGGACAGAAATGTTTGTTGAGCCTCTGTATTATCCACCATGATACATTAGTGGTTTTGCTAGGACTGCAGAGCTTTGATCCAATCCATTCATTGTGTAAATACTTAGCTCTGATTACAGCATGCTGCTTCTGATAATTGGCATATTTTAACTGTGTTGCAATAGCACAAGATTGGCATTTTTTTTTTAAGATTGCTTGGTGCTGCTTCTGGCATAGTCTTCTATACACATGGAAAAAAGGGCTATTCCCCTTGCTTGATGATAATGGTATGGTGGGGGTCAGACTAAGGCTGGTAGAATGCCATTCTGCTGCTGGGCCACAGTACCTACCTATATCTATTCTGACTTTAACCCATTTCATACAGTAGTAATGCTTCACGTGGAGGTTGCCCCTCAGAATAAAGACATCTCCAAAAACACTTGCCTAAGCTAGTTGACAGATGCATATGCAATAATCAGATTATTGAAGGTGAGGCCAACTTGTCACCCTCTCGCACATTGTTTCTTTCAACAGTTGCCACCAGCTCAGTCTGGCAGTTGCACCCTTCAGAGCTCAGTCTATAATTATGCTACAAGGCCCCACTTGGTGACAACTCTAACAACATTATTTTC